GGGGGGGGGGGGTAACAGAAGCATTTAAAATCAAAAAAGGAACCAGACAAGGATGTCCATTATCTCCATTGTTATTTGTGTTAACAATGGAGATTTTGTTAACTAAAATTCGTGAGTCTTCTATAATAAAAGGAATTAAGGTTAATAAGATTGATTATAGATTAAGAGCTTTTGCAGATGACTTAGTGTTAACATTAACTCAGCCAATAGACTCGGTAATTGACTTGGTTGAAATTATTGCACAATATGGGAAAGTTTCTGGTTTTAAGGTTAACTGTAATAAGACTAAAATATTACCGAAAAATATATCTATGAATGATAAAGATATGTTAGTTACGCTCACAGATTTTGAAATGGTTAAAAAGGTAAAATATTTGGGAGTTTATATTACAGCTTCTAATGCTAAATTGTATAAGAATAATTATGAATATGGGTTAAGGTGCAAAAGGATTTGAATGATTGGAAAAAATTGCAACTATCTTTGCTGGGGAGAATTTCAGCAGTAAAAATGAATGTCCTTCCTAAATTTCTTTTCTTGTTTCAAATGATCCCTATTTTAAAAAAAGATGCTAATTTGGAGGATTGGCAAAAGGGTATTAATAAGTTTATTTGGGCGGGCAAGAAGCCAAGAGTTAGGTTTAAGATTATGCAAGATATAAGGGAACGAGGAGGATTTAAAGTCCCCAATTTAAAATTGTATTATGATGCGGTGGTTTTGACATGGATTAACGATTGGCTAAATTTAACAAATAGAAATATACTTTCTCTTGAAGGATGGGATTTGTTATTTGGTTGGCAGGCATATTTAATTTATGATAAAAAGGTAGATAAAAATTTTAAGGTTCATATTTTAAGAAGTGCTTTATTACAAGTTTGGAAGAAATATTATTATAAATTAAATTATAAAATTCCTATCTGGGCAATTACAGGACAGGTAATAGAGGGGATATCTAGGGGAGTTAATTTGGATAAAGTTTCTTATAAGGAACTACTTTGTCCGGTAGGACGAGATTGGCAACTTAAATCTTTAGTAGATTTGAAACAAGAAACTATTGAATATTCTTGGTTTTATTACAACCAATTGTTAATGAGGTGGCGTTTGGATCAAAAAGTTGGTATTACTTTACAGGATGTAAATTTGATGAAACAGATTAAAGATCAATCTCAAGCTCATATTAAAAGAATTTATAACGCATTGATTTAATTGGATTCAGAAACAGAATTGGTTAAGGACTGCATGATAAAATGGGCTCAAAATATACAAGAACCGATCTTACTGGAACATGGGAGACAATTTGGATTAGAAATGTAAAATTTACTCAAGCTCAAAATTTAAGGGAAAATTTTTATAAAATGTTTTATAGGTGGCATTTGGATCCTCAAAAATTGTCCTGCATGTATCCTAATTTACAACCTAAGTGTTGGAGATGTGGAAACTTAGATGCAACCTATTTTCATATGTGGTGGACATGCAGGGAA